TAAGGTTCACTGAGCTATGTAGCTGTTTTTTTTTCTTTTCCAGAAGCGACCTGGCCACACGTGATAGCTCAACGAAGTGGCTTATCGCGTGGAATTTTTTTTTCGGACAAATACTCTAAACGCGTGTTTTCTAAATGTGGAGGGAAAACCCAGAGGACCGGGAGAAAAATCCACACAACCACAGGGAGAGAGAGAGAGACACGCAAACTCCAAATATACAGCAGCAAGGCGACAAGGTCGGGGTCGAACCCACGACCTCCTGCATAGCAGGCGAGGTAGCTAACATCTCGCCACCGTGGCGCACCTTTACCTTTCTAATTCTTAAAACCTTTAAAGCTTCACAACTCGATCCTTCTCTTTGTTCCACGAGCTCCAATGGGTCTGCAGCCAAGAGTGCCCGGGGGTGAGCACGTGCAAGACCGTCTGCATTCTCCACGCGGAAAGTCTTGCGTGCATAAAACATCACAAAAGTGTCCACTCGTCTATCGCATGTAATAACCCTCGCAGATGTGGCTTGCGAGGGCAGATTGGCAGCGCTTTCGGAAAAAAACAACAACTCAATAATGAGAATCAGGGGTGCGTGCCACTGTGCGTGAAGATTAAGGTTTGTCCATCGGCGTACAGCAAGGGTTAATTTCTCATGAAATGTATTTGTTTTAGCAGAGCACCGTAACCTCCTCCGATCTCCCGTACCTCCGGGCGGGCGTGAGTGAGGAGGAGAGGGGGGATAGGAAAATATTTTCCGGAGCTCATCACCCGGACAGCTTTTGATAAACCCCCGAAGCCCTGTCTGTGTAGAGTACCACCTGCTGTGATGTATTTATCGGAAACGTGGACGTTGATAGATACAACGTGAGAAAAACTGAAAAGTGCGTAAAAAGGTGTGCAGAGGTGCGTGCTTAGAGCTACACTGAGATACCACATTGGGGCACGGGGATTGGAGAACAGGTTCGAGACATTGCATAGATCAGTGATTCTTAACGTGGGGTGCATGCACCCACTGGGGTGCAAGATGCCCTTTGCGAGGGTGCGAGACATGCCAGATTCTTTTAGAAGGTACAACTACTTCGTTTCATCAAACCTATGTTTTTATGAATATAACTTTTTTTTTAAAACGATTGAAAACCAAAATGGGTGCAGGGGCTGCAGGAAAGGTTAAGAACCACTGGCATAGATGATAAAAGTGTTCTTGCGTGGGACACGTCGCTACGAGCGATGATGGCCGCTGGTCGAGACCAACGATGTAGTGGCAGCTAAAACAGGGAACACGCCCCGAGAGGACGCCACCGCGGATGGAGATGGAGTGATAAAATCAGCTCATGTATGTATGTGTTGTGTCAACGATTCGTAGACAGATTTTCCAATTATTTACCCAGGAAAGCCTCAATGAATCTCAAAAAATATTTCCAGGAGGCTACTACAAATTTGAATATTTAGCCAATCCCATAATCGTTTAGAATTTTGTGGGAGGAAAACCAGAGTAGCCGAAGAATACTGACCACGAATAGCGAGGTGGTGACACTCAGCAACTGCCATTTCCTGGCCACACCTCGCAGCTCCATGCCTGCAGCGCCTGGCAAGAATCAGTGCCGGATTATCCTCATCGCAGAAGTAGCTACATATGTAGCTACTATACACATGTAGTAGCTACGGGCCCCGCACTTTCACGGGCCCCACGCTAAATGCTTTCAAGCTATGAATTCCGATTCAGTGATTCTGTACTTGCTCTATTACTTATAGTACTATACTGCCTTCAAATTTTATGAACGACTGGGTGTTTAAGGTCAGCGATGTGTATTATCTGGCTGTATCGCAAATAAAAAAATAGTACAATTACTTTCCTATGCAAGTAAAATTTTGTGTTTTAATATTTGTGAATTTAGGGCCCCTTTTAAACATATGCTCCAGGCCCCGCACGGGCTTAATCCGGCACTCGCAATAATTGTAATCATTGGTCACCCACCCAAGCTTTAACCAGACTTAAAAAAACATGCGTAGCTTTGCGTGATCGGACGAGCTCATTGCATGTCGGGCGATTTGGTTGCAGGCCAATTTGGCACCAGGAAAAGCTCCACGTTATTTTTCTGAGTTTGTTTATCCCGTTGCCGCCTTGGTCTCTCTCGGCCGCGCCACATGAGGTAGCCCATTGTTTATGTTTATTCAGCACATGGGCTCAGAGGATGCGTGTGGGGATGCCACATGGCTGACTGTCATTTGAAACGTTGTGCATGGGCTCAGAGGATGTGTGTGGGGATGCCACATGGCTGACTGTCATTTGAAACGGCGTGCCAACGTTCACGTACACGTCAGACCACTGCTGGATGAGAGCCTCCACAAGCCGCGCAAATTCGTCGGGGTTGTGTGACCTTACTTCACCTCGCTGGTCATCAACGTAACAAAAAACAATACATCAACACGCAAAGACAAATACCTATCTATAGCCGTACAGACTGTTGGTGGATGTGCTATTAGCGAGCACCAATTAAGACCGATACCGCAAACAAAGGGGTCTGTTTGGCCAGCACCACGTCTGGTCGCCTTTGTCTCCCACGTGTTGATATTCTTTTTTTTTTACACCGTACCAGACACTATCTTAAGACTGAGTAGACCTAGGAGAGACATATGCCCGGCTCACATATTCCTCACAGATGTCAATGAGCCTTGTGCCGGGAATCGCACTCAGCCCCTAGGGCTCACAGCGCAGTGCGCTAACCCCGAGTCCACCGCTCCCCATGACGCACACACCACCACCACACACATGGCACGCCTGGCGGTCACTCATCCAAGTTCCAACGAGGCTGAAGGCCTGCTTATCTTCCGACTTCAGACGCGATGGGGCGCACTCGTGGTGGGGGGGGGGTGATGTGGTGGTCACTTCCCGCAACACAAAGGTCGCGTTGAAGTTATGGACTTCACGTAGAGCCACAAAAATAGCGACGCCGTTCGTAAATTCCTCATGCGCGGCACAACGCTGGCTCGGGCTCAGCCGAGGAGGAACCGATAATTGATCGTCTGTGGATGAAAACTTTCGTGACTGCAGGAATTCATATTCTTGTTTTTTTTCGGTAAAGTCACGTAATTTTTTTTTTTAAATACTAACATAATACATTTCCATAATATAATTTTTTTTTCAAAATAATAAAAGCAAAAAAAATCCCACAATAACCAAAATAAATTGTTAATAATTAAAGCAAAAAAACCCCACTGCTTTTATTTTCAACGTATTATTTTAATTGTATATTTTTTATTCGTATTGTTTTTAATTATTTTTCTTTTATTTAACATTTTTTTATTTTTTTAGTTTTTACATGACTTTACCGAAAGAAACCAAGAATATAGTCGTCTGTGGGTTACGCGCTTCTTCGTGGACTCGTTCCATCACCACCGTCGTCATCGACGTGATGATGACGATCCCTCTCGGGACTCGTTCCCATCATCGTCACCGTTAACTTTGTCACCTTCCACGATCTATCCGCCGCTGGATACAATTCTCCCCACGAAAGCCGTCGCCACCCTTCACGATCGTGCTGACGCACCGATGGGTACTATCCGCGTGGGTCCAGCGCACGAGCTGATCTCGACCGAGCTTCTTCGCAGCGTTGGGGCGTCCTCTCTGGCGCCTTCTTCTCTCGTTTGGCTGCCACGAACAACGCCGTCGTTCTCCACCGTCGGCCAATACCTCTTCCGTTCGGAGATAAGTCCATGCTCCTCGACTTATATCTCAGACACCACCATCATCATCATAACCTCCTCCACGGATTGTGGAAACACAGGGTGGGTGTGTGTGTGGGGGGTATGGATCCTGTGCTCGTCACCGCTTTTTTTCACTGAAAGGATGAACAAGATCAGCCTTTATATCCCCACCCCCCCATCCGCCGCCACTTAAATATACAGTATATCGAAGCAATTGACAGGGCAGATGGAGGCGAAGGCTGAGAGGCGACGGATAACGAGAAAGGACGGACGATGCTGTCAGCGACGTAAGTGTGGGGTTTGAGGCAGCGGTGTTAATGACGTGGCGACGTATTTGCGAAACCACGTAAAAGGGGGAGACGTGAATCGGGGTATTGCTGTGTATCAATGCATACGTGTTATTTTTTTTTACTATTAAATTAAAACGAATTGGACATTCACATGAACTGCATTCCAGATTACTTTCACGTAAGGCCCACTGAGCATTGTGACTCTTATTTCAGCAGCGACCTGGCCACAAATGATAGCCCATCGAAGTGGCTTATCGCGTGGACGGTTATAGCAGCCGAATTACTCTAAACGCGTGATTACAAAATGTGGCGATAAAAACCGGAGGACCCGGATAAAAATCCACGCGACCACGGGGAGAGAGACACGCAAACTCCAAATATAAAGGCTCAATGTTGGGATCGAACCCACGACCTGCTGTAAACCAGGCGAGATAGTTAACATATCGCGACCGTGGGCCTATAGATGAATTGTTGCATGTAGCAGTGGATACATCATGGCTGAGAATGAGCGTGGTTAAGAACAGTGATTAACGGATATTTAGTGTTATTGAAAAACAAAATCTTATTGTGGATATGATTTATTCATTGTATGGATACGTCACTTGTTATGCAATGACACACAACGTGTTAGTTGCGATGTTGTTTCGCATGTATGCACTGTAGTTTACACACAACAAACACACGTGTTCATCATCACAACGCTTCATTTGAGATGAAGGTTAAAAGATCACAGCAAGGCGCTGGTGTTTGGAGCCCGGATAGCTCAGTCGGTAGAGCATCAGACTTTTAATCTGAGGGTCCAGGGTTCAAGTCCCTGTTCGGGCGCTAGTATTTTTTTAATAAACTCCTTGCATCGTGAGAGACGCAGTTGTGACAGACGCACTCGGAATTGGGAAGATATGCTGCATTTAGCAGTGAACAGACCACGGCCATTGATGATGATAATGACGACGATGATCACCGAGTTAAGGCGCCACGCCCTCATCCTCCTCCTCGTGTCACCCCACCCCCCTTCTCCCCCTCCGGCCACGGAGTCATTTATCCAACCCCCACTCTTTCCACCCATCCCCCCCTGCCACTTGCATCACCGCTGCGCGTGAAACTTTAGGGGATGTAGAGTCGGCGGCACGCAGCGCCGCAAACGCACTGAGCAGCAAGTGGCTCGAGGCAAAACTCCCCACCCCTCTTTGCGAACAGTCGTCCAAGTCCACCGGGACACTCCAAGATTCGCATCGTCCTCCTCCTTGCGCTCATCCTCCTTGCGACCCTTTTGCGTCTCGGCTTCATCTTCAGCCGCACCGGCGCCTTCCTTCTTGCTCCTCTTTTCGCCCTCGACTCATTCCTTCTTTCTACTAGTCCTTCTCCTCCTCGCGACTCTGTGCTCCCACGCTTCATCTTCAGCCACAGCAGCCACTCCCCCCTGCTCCTTTCGGCGAGGCGCGTCCGCAGCTCCCCGCGCGCCGCCGACCCTGCTGACCGCTGCCTCGAACCACCGTCGATTGTGGTGGTGGTGATGATACAGCGATGGCGGTGGTTGTGACGACGACGATGGCGATGTTGGGTGCGATGGCGATGTGCGGCGTTAGCGTCCGTACGGTTGGGTCATCCGCGCCGGGATCGGATATGTTCACCGCGCTGTCTGACCTCCAAGCGGCCGTGTCCAGCGAGAAGAGGCTCGTGCAGAAACTCGGAGAGTACCTGTCCCTGGAGGAGGCGAGGCTCGAGCACCTGCGCAGGTGAGTCGCCTCGTCGTCAGACCGACTCCCCGACGAATGTCGCCTGCTCTGAATAATAATAATAATTGTTATTATTAACGGATGCGCTTTCTTTACTCGGGATGCACGTGTCTGCCTCGCTGTTGTGCGCTGGGGATGATGTCACGTTTAGACACCACGCTGGTCGGTGACCAAACCGTATATAAATGGTATAAGACGATAGATTGCCTCCATGTAGTTATGTATTGCTCATGGCTGCTGCTGATGATGATTCTGGTGATGTGTATGAACTCTAACGCAGAGGTGGCTGCTTCTTCCGAATGTGGTGACCGGGCAGTGTGGTGTTGGCCGGTGCCACTGGGAAACGGGAGTTCGTTTCCCAATCACGGCGAACATCGGCAGAGATTGAGTTAGATCTCAGCCGCTTAACCAATCCGCATTGACCAGCGGGGTGAAATATATTCTTTGTTTTTTTTTCCGGTAAAGTCAGGTAGATAGAAAAATAAAAATAAAGTGAATAAAAAGATACAAAATAAAAAAAATACTGTAGCCTGGTTCTTAATCGGAGTGAGTGTACTGGCAGTCTATAATGTAGACTGTAGCCTGGTTCTTAACCTCGGTGAGTGTACTGGCAGTCTATAATGTAGACTGTAGCCTGAAAAAATAAAATGAATAACAATTAAAAACAAACAAAGCCACCTGTTTCGCACAACCTCTGTGTCCGTCATGGCGCAGGGAATGCCATCATCCAGCAGCTAATTGACAAATGGCTGTATCGTTTTGTTCCTCCTTTAAATGAATATGAATTTCAGCGCTCGCAAAGGTCAGGTTAAAAAAAACAATACAGTATATACGAATGATGAATTGTTTTAAGAACTAACCCAGGCAGTGGGAGGAAGGGAGAGAGTGTATGATTAGAGACGGACGGTTTGGTACGGGGGTAAAGGATTTACACCCCGTGGTGGCAGGGGAGAGGGGCTCTGGCTCTTAACAGACACAGCAGACGGCGTGCAGGTTTAAATGAATGTGTGGGGGCAGAGCGGTGGTTCAGTGGTTAGCGCACTGCGCTATAAACCCGGCCATATGAGCACATATGAGCGATATGTGAACCGGTCCCGAGGCCCATTCCTTCTCCAACCCAGCATGGGCCAGTGTGGGGAAGAATGGTCAAACAACCCCCAGCAATGACGGGGGGTTTGCCTTCATCCAGCAGTGGATTGACAAAGGACTCTGATGCTGCTTACCAGAAAAATGAAAAGGTCAGGCTAAAGGCAAAAATAAAGTAAATACAAAATCGATTTTATTAATTTAACGTGGGCCTTAAAAATCATTACCAGTCCACGAACCGATGCATTGATATACGCTTCGTAATTAGCGTTTCAGAAATTGCCGGGTGACTCGAGTCGGAGAACTGAATGGGCACCACTGCTGAGATCATGAATTCGAATCCGGGTTTCGGCCGGATTCTCAAGATGCGGCGAGTTGATGGGGCCGGTCACGAATGGTTTGTCACCAAGCTCGCGATGACAAGAGAATTGCGTGCCGATATCGAACGAACGCTCTTTGAAAGGCGTTTACATAACAGCTGCGAGCTTGTGTATAAAGTGGGCTACTGAATCTTTATTTGAAGCTTTCGTGACTGCAGGAATCCATACTCTTTGGTTCTTTCGGGGAAGTCACGTGGATAGAAAATTAATAGATCACGACGTTTCGATCCCAACACAAGCAACCGTCATCAGGTTGAAACAAACACAGCGGGAGAACTGCTGACGTAGCATCTATTAATTTTATATCTACGTGACTTTACCGAAAGAATCAAAGAGTATGCGCTACTGAAGTTACACTTCTCGACACTGTTCGGTGCACAGCCGGCTGTGAATTATACACGGAAACGCAACTGTGATGACGTTGATGGCACCACTTGAATATCATTTGATACACTGAAGCATTCGGGAGACCTGCATGCCTTGATTATGTTGAACAAAAGTTGGTGTCTAAGTGTTCATACTGTACTCTTTGGTTATTTCGGTAAAGTCACGTAGAAAGAAATTAAATAAGTATAAATATTATAAATAATATAAAAAATGTGTATAATAAATAAATTAATTTGATTAAGTAATAATAAAAATAATAATATGATATTATTTAATTTAATTTCTTTCTACGTGACTTTACCAAAAGAACCAAAGAGTTATTCCTGCAGTCACGAAAGCTTCGAATCTTGTTCATGCCCTCTTTACATTTGAGCCACGGTTAAGATCCAGCTGTTGGAAATTCCACACTGCCATGGCAGGGGCCAGTCCTGAACACTCTTGACCTGACCCGTGGTAAAGTGCCGTATTCTGGTCCATATATTGTTAAATACTTACAAAGGAGTAACAGCCATTGCGCATAAGCATGTGGCAATCCATTGACAGATAAATTTGATTTATTAACGAATACCTAGATGGAGGTGGCCGGGTGACTTAGAGGTCAGCTTTGAGTTGGCACTGCTGATATCTTTGCTTCGAATCCAAGTGACTTGATGGTCAGGCCAGGAGCGTAATGGTGCTCAATTTGAATAGAAGAACATTACTCTCCCTGGCTGAGTGAGAGGGAAATTGCTCCAGCCGACTGTGTGGACCAGAGTTCACTCGAATGCATTTCAGAGTTTAGCTCGGCGGAATATGATTCCGTCCGCCATTCTCTAACGTGAAGAGCTGCACTGTTCTGTGAGAGATGTGGATGGACTTTTTGTCTCATTACGTGATGCATATTTGCAAAATCGGGATGAAATTGTTGAAAAATACAATAATAAATAGAAAAAGGTGTACCTGGGGAACATGCCATCCATTCCCCGCTGGATTAACATACCACTAAGCGCATTTAGTGGTAGCTGCTCCACTTGATGTCAGCAGTTTTTGTTGTTGTCGTTGTGTGGAAACACTGGGATGGCTCTACCATATACACATGCACTTTCCTGCCCACCATTGCCCTCGGGTTCGGAGGTCCACGAGTTTGCGAGACTGGCCACTGTTGCCCAGAGGGCGTGAAAACGCGTTAAGTGAGTGATACTTAATCATGTCTCTGCAACCACAGGCTGAAAAGAGGAGTGATCGATGAGCCCCGTGATAAAAGTGTCCTCAGGAGCCATGAGCACATTCTCCACTCGAGTCGAAGCAAGAGCCACAGCTTCAATTGTAGCCCCAGGCAGGCCCCTTTGCTTAAACCGCGTTCTCACGTGCAGCGAGTCGATGGTCTCAGACCTGGTCACTGTACAACCCGCCCCCCCCCCCATAACATCCAATTTGAGTTTTCACTTCATGCCATCAACAACACATTAGCGGACTCCCACACTGAGAGTCCAGAAGGTAGGAAAGTCCACGATTGAACGGTGGACAAAAAAAACACACACACACGGCAATTCCTTCGCGAGAAAAGGGACGATGGCTGGTGGTTGAAACTAACAGCAGAGTGGCAGACAATGGAGGAGACCTGTTTGAGAGGACGCCCACTGCGGAGATGGAGGTATGAAATTGGATCGCGTGCTGTAACCTGGACGGATCGCCGCCATCCTCCAGTTGCGGGACTGGTGGGGGAGGCGGGGGAGGGGGGAATGGCGACGGCTTTGGGGGGGGGGGGGGGGGGCTTCATCTAGCAGTGGATCGACGATGGCTTCCTCCTCTCCCAGGTTCCTGAACAAAGTGCAGCGGGCGCACGAGCGGGCTTACGACGCGCGGGTCGCGGGCACGGAGGGCGCGGTGCCCACCAATCCACTCGACGCCTTCGGCCTCATCAAGCGCCTGCACCTGGAGTGGGCACGGGTGGTGCACAGCCCGGCAGCGGACGACAACATGCGCGGTGCGTGCGCGTTACTGTGTGTGTATCACAACGGCGTGTGCGCGCGTGTATGTGCGCGTCTGCCTAAGTGGCACAGTAGGGGGGCACAGCCGGTGCATCTGCCAGTCATCTTGGTCAGCCAACCCATGGCATCTGGCTCTGTCCCGAGAGCTCCTGCCAGCGAGCCTTCGACACTTCACGTGGCCTCAAAGTGCACCTGGCCTGGCACGGGCGCCGTGGTGACGTCACCGTCACTTAGTGGCGAATGGCGGGTGTTGGTATTGGCCTAAGTGGTGGGGAGCGGTAGTGTAGCAGTTAGCGCGCTGCGCTACGAACCCACTCGTGGCCAATATTAGTTACGATTATCAGAACCGGTTTTGGGCCTCCCCTAGGTCGACTCGGCCTCAAATGAGTACCTGGTGCGGTGTTTAAAGATCGCCAGTGGGGAGACAAAGGCGGCCGGGCGTGGTGCTGGCCACCCACCCCCTCGTGCGTCGTGCCGGCCTTCATAGGTGCTCGCTAACAGAACTTGCTCCAACAGTCTGTTACAGGCTAAACGGGGGATCTTTGTCTTTTTTCGTGTGCGCACGTCTGCATAAGTGGTGCAAGCGCATGGTTACGATTTCGGTGACCCGAGCTCAATTCTCGGTCATGCGCACGGTGCGAAAGAAGTTCAACATACATATATAAATATCATTGGTTGGTAACTGCACCTGATCTGGGATGACCAGTGGGTAATGTTGCAATGTTACGCAGCCCTTTGTCAATCCATGGCATGATGATTGCTTTCCTACACCGTGATGGTCATGCCGGTAGTTTGACCACACTTCACCACGGTGGTCTCTGTGGGTTGAAGGAGGTTTCGTTCGGGACCAATGCAGATACCACTCCGCCACTGTTAGCTTAAGGCCAGGATTCGAACTGGGACGACAGCATTCAATGTGCGGTGTGCTAACCACTGCACCGCCACAGTAAATACAACCTTTTAATTAACACCCGATGCAGTGGTGTGGTTAACATCAGCAGGTGGCGAGACAAAGGTGGCTGGGGAGTGTGTGATGATATATATATGGCTCAGAAGGAGCTCTTACAGTACATATGTCACACACGCCTTGTATGGCTACATGCGGGATCCGAGTTTATTGGTTTATTTTGAGACACCTAAACTAGCCAACACATATTCTCGTGTCCCCATATACCGCTCACGCCCATGGGCAGTTGAGATGTACCTGTTTTTAACCATAATAATGCATTTGATTTCTATCACGCTCTTCCCACGCTCAAACCACTGAACGGTAAAAAGTATCCAGTGCTATATAAACTAAATACAACTATTACATGACGGAAAAAACACAATGGCGTATGTATAAAACATAACCATATCCAGGCTTGACAACTCAAAGGGCACCCAACAATTGATATAAACCGTGTGCAGGGTTATACGATTCTGCTGTTTTGCTCTGAATGCTCGCCATCATTTTAGTTTGAAGTAAACTATAAAACGATATTTATTTATTTTAACCCAGGTAAGGCCACACTTAGCTATATGGCTTTTTTTTCAGAAGCGACCTGGCTATCACAAATGATCGCTCGTGTGGAAATTCATAGCAGCCAAATACTCTAAACGGGCGTTTCTAAATCTGGAGGGTCAAACCGGAGGACCTGGAGAAAAATCCGCGCGACCACAGGGGGAGAGAGACAAGCAAACTCCAAATATACAGCAGGCGTCAGGGTTGGGATCGAACCCACGACCTCCTGTATACCAAACGAGGTAGTTAACATCTCACCACCGTAACGCCCCCTCTGGTATTACCGTCAACATCTGGGAACCCAGCGGCAATTTGTGCTCCGAACGCTGAGAAAGCCTGAAGTGGTGCCTTTTCTCACCCTAATCAAAAGCTGGTGGAAAACACATGCTTATGGACTTGGGGAAGTAGGTTATATATATATTGTTTTACGTCGACAAACATTTGTACTATTATGTGCAAATGTGTGGGTTTAGTATGCAACGTATTACTGCTGTTTACTAACCGTGCATAGCATGCGGTACTTTGTACTTAAACGCGTGCGCTTAAGGTGTGCACGTGTATTCCATGCCACATTTCCGTTGAAGCGAGCGAAACGCCTCGAGTAGTAAAAACACGCTAGCTCACATCTCTCCGAGGCGTTTCCAGCTGCGTGCCCGCGCGTTTGTTTCGGCGGCGATGTCCGACGTTTCGCTTCGCATGCCTAAGAAGCTACCGGCGCGAAACGTCGGACGCCGTGCCGAACAAAACCCGGTGGCGCACCTGCAAAACGCAACCCGGAGATCCCGTGCGGCACAACCGCGAAATCCCTGTGCGGTCGCGTCACACCTATATTTAGAACGCATTTTTTCAGTGACAGTTCAGCATAACGCCCTAAATCAGACGGAGGGCTCGGGAAATGTGATGGGGGCGGGGGAGGGTCTAATCCAGCGGGGGCATTTTGCGGTGCGTGCCATAACCCCCGTTCAGGAAACCCTTTTAACGTTCACTGCCTTAGTAAGCTAAATAAGCGGCACACGTTTGCACTCGCTTCTACAGCATGAGCAAAGCGCCTCCCTTTGACTCGCATTGGCGGGGAGAAAAGGGCCGCCGTTATTCAGAGGCAAATCCGTGAGAAGGGTAAAAAACGCCTCCACCTCGGCGACGGAGCGACGGGATCGGTCCGCACGTGTCGCAGTTGCCAGGTGGATTGACGCCGTCGTGGGGCTCTTGAAGGATGGAAATTGCCCTGGGGTGGGGGTGGGGGGAGCGGGGCTGAGACCTTCACGCAGCAGTGGATTGACTTTCGATGGTAGTGTCAGAAAAACACGTTTAACAAGAAGAACTAAAAGTGTAAATTCTAGCATGGCCATATAAGGCCTTTTCCCCTCTTAACGCAAATTCTGGCAGCTTCTCGCGACGCACGCGTTTTTTTTTTTAAATTCTCGGTTGGCCTCCGACGACTTTCCTCTGCGCGCGAGCATTCGACATCGACCGGACGGCCCGCTTGGGCATGGCTTGCACAGCCTGGCAGGCGCAGAGCTGGTCGCATCCCGAGTTCGGAATTCCACCCATCTGCGTCGTGTTATATCTACATTCTGATAGGATATCGAGATAAATCAAGCGGTCTCGCATACGGAATGATCCTGGGCGCAGCTGCTTGCGAGCTTCGAATCGGACGTGGCTTTTGTCCCACGCACTCGAGTTCACGGGAAGCGGTGTGCCTGTTCTCCCGCACATCACACATATCTATTCCACACGCGCCTGGATGCCTTCGTTTCCCCAGTGACCACGCAGCATCGGGGACTCATTTTGAGGCTTTAGTCAACCTTTGGGGAGCCCAGATCGAGGCCCCAATGCCATTTGGCACTGCCGCTCTATGCCTCGTCCAGAAATCAACCCGGGTCACTGGAATAATAGTGCCGTGTGAAAACCACTACATCATTCGCCTGCGCACATACACATATCACACAAAGCATGCACGCACACGCTGGTGTTGTACATCCAGGGCCACATACCAAGTGCGTACAAAAGTTTTTCGGTCGTTCCATTCTACATACAGTACTAATACAAAAAAAAATGAACCATTAAATGTTGCCATAGACACCGCGATATACACAGATTGCATGCAGGCGCATGTCTTGAGTTACACGCACTCACACTTTCACGGCTCACAGCAGCGGTTAAACGGCAATGCGGGACCCTTTTTTCAACAGCCCTGTGTAATATCAGGCATGGCCATAACATAATAAACCAACTCCAAATGTGCGTTTCAATTTTAAACACTGGCCCGCGGTTCCCCATTGCGTTCCGCTCCTCGAGTCTTCCCGGGTCTGGCTTCCCCTCGGCTGACCCTGCCCCACCGGCCTCTCTGAGATGGAGAACCCCTGTGGGGTGGAGGAGGGAGGAAGAGGAGGAAGCCGAGGGGGCGACACACGGGCCTTGCGGCTGCGTCAGATCGACCGTTGCTGTCAAGACTTGGGGGATAGGGAGCCTGCTGGGAGGGGAGAGTGGGGGGTCGGGGGTGGGGGGGATGGGAGACCCCTAGGAGGTGAACTCATTTGAGGGCTTTGCCCGTAGGGACCTCGAGGGTTGGCACCGTAGGGAAGATGCTTGCTACCTGCTGTCCTGGCGCCTTAAATCGCCACTGAGACAACCCTGCAGCGTGGCCCTGTTTTAAGGGTGGGAGGCATGCAAAACCTCAGGCAGGGGGGCAGGGGAGTGGCACGGCACAGTAGATTTCAAACAAACTTTCATCGAATGTTCAACGCTTAAACAGTGCGATGCAGACATTATGCTCTAGCTCTCACCCCCTATGTATAACAGGAAAGGACTGCGACACCCAACGCTTAATCGTTCATGAGCAATCGGCAGGTGAGGAGGCTAAAACCAACTCAACACAGCAGGGGCTGCATTTTTGTCAGTGAGCCTTACCCGGTAAAATAAAAAAATGATTTAGCTTATAATTGAACAGTCCTCTCCCCTGATGCCGCCCACCCCCATCCCATCTCTCCAGTGCTGGAGGAGTCCTACGCGGAGGGCCCCGTGCCAGGCGCGGTGGACCTGGAGGGCGCTGCGCGGGCCCTGATGCGCGCTCAGGACGTGTACGCGCTGGACACGCGGGCCCTTGCCGCCGGGCGCTTCCGCAGCCAGGCCCCGAGCCTGGCGCTCGGGGCCACGGTGGCAGCCAGACTCTCCGCCGACGACTGCTTTCACCTTGGCAAGGTGCGCCGCGAGAGGCGCGCAATGGATCACGGCGGTTGTTAGCCCACCTGTTGACGACCTCTGGGCTGCCCCTGAACATTAACAATAATTTGTCATTCATGCCGGTGCAGATTCATTCTTACACATTTAAACGAATTTTTTTTTTTTTTTTTTAAACCAGGTAAGGTCCACTTGAGCTATTTGGCTCTTTTTCAGAAGCGACCTCGCCACAAATTATAGCTCAACAAAGTGGCTTATCATGTGGAAATTTAAAGCAGCCAAATACTCGAAACGCACGTTTCTAAATGTGGAGGCAAAAAACCGGAGGACCCGGAGAAAAATACATGCAACCGCGGAGAGAACAATCAGACTCCACATATACATGTGGCAGGATCATGGTCGGACTCACGACCTCCTGTATACCAGGCGAGGCAGTTATCATCTCGTCACTGCGGCACCCTCTCCTGTTAAAGCGCATCCAATATGTTCGGATACAAGGTCAAGTAATTTCATTTCGATTTAAAGCTTTCGTGACTGCAAGGATTCATCTTCTTTGGTTCTTTCGGTAAAGTCACGTAGAATGAGAATAAAATAATAAATTGATAAAATAAAATAACACAATAATATTCTCACGACGTATCGGCCACAACACAAGCGGCCTTCATCATCTGATGACTTATCCACAAAGTGGGTACGTACTTATTTGATTGACCCCGGGGGAATGATGGTCTGAGTCAATCCTCAACCAGGATTTGAACTCTCAAACTTACGATTGCGAGCCGCTTGCTCAACCGCTGAGCGATTTGGCCAGCGTCGCCCCAGTGTGGAATAACTCACCTGCTCCTCAATCAGAGTGGAGTGAGAAGCCACTGAATTACATATTTATTTGCACAATCCGCTGCTGGACGAGTTACCAATTTTACGTGCGCCCACTGCTGTATGTATACGAATCTGATAAATACCACTCTAGTGGGGCTCTCTAGAGCTCCCTCTAGTGGAGGCCTTTACACCAGCAGTGCCGTGAGCACGCAATTGCACGACCGCACCTTTAGCTCCACCTTGTATTGCTTTGTATCGCCATTGTGACCCAGGTCTCCCTTTTAATAGAGACTCTTATTCTCATCGTAGCTCTTGGATGCTTTTGAATAATGAACATCTATCTCTCTTACATGCAATATTGGTTGAAGAGATTCACCTACAGCGATTGTTGAGCCGGTGTTGCCACTCGCCCGCCCATCCGTCTCTCCGCCCACCCTCCTTCCCAGGTGGCGTACGAGGAGGGCGACTGGTACCACTCGCTGCCCTGGCTGGAGCTGTCGGCGCTGGGCTTCAGGGCCCGACGTGGCTCGCCACGGCGCCTGGAGGACCACGCCAGCATGGTGGACGCGCTGGACCACCTGGCGTTCACGCACTTCAAGGCACGCACTTCCCCCCAACGCACACCACCTCCCCCAACACCCTCCGCCACTCATTGTAACAATTTTTTTTATACAATTTAAATAATTGCCATATGAATCCCATGGCTGTTAGCCTGCCCGTTGAAAACATATATTGGCTGCCCTGAACATTAGCGTAATTTATCATTCGTTATGTCGCGGATTGATTCTAACACATTTTTACAAATTTTATTTTATCGGGTAAGGTGCCCACTGAGCTAGAAGTGACCTGGCCACAAATGATAAACCACTTTGTGGAGCTATCACGTGGAAATTTGTAGCAGCCAAATACTCTAAACGCATTATTCTAAATGTGGAGGGAGAAACCGGAGGACCTGCAGAGAAAAGTTAATGCGACCACTGGGAGAGAGACGCACAAACTCCAGATATAGAGAAATCAGGGTCAGGATTGAACTCACGACTTCCTGCATACCAGGCGAGGGTGTTAACATCTTTGTCCCATCACCTGCTCGCGAGTGTTTGTTGAGCCACATTGTCGCTTCTGTCTGACGGATCTGGGTTGGGGTGCCCAAACGTACGGTGAAGCATTTCCCTTGAAGGTGAAGGGGGTGTTCTTAGGAGCTGCGGTCCATTGTGGAAGTTAATCGAATGGAGGTGATTGTGCAGATCGTTGGACAGTTTACTATAAGAGTAGGTTTTACCCTTTCTGGCAATAAAAGAGGTGTTAAGATGTTAAAACACCAAACGGAAACCTTTTTCAAGGAATCCTGTCTGCATTATAACCACACATACCTGTGGTGAACATGCAAACAAAACATGCTCTGGTAATGTATGCATTGTCGTTATGGCCTAGTGTTAGAACGCCAAAAGGTGAACAGCACAAAGACAATGCACTATCAGGGCATTTTTAGCTCGGGGTGAGCAGCTACAACACAGTCAAACTTATTATTATATTTTGATACTGGAAAGAAAGGTGTCATATTGACAGTTTCCTGTTTTCAAAGGGGAGGACTGTTCTATGAAATTACACAGGCGCCTAACATTGTGAAAAAGAGCTTCATAGCTCATCGGATTCGTCCAGTACAAATATTCTGATTCTGATTGAGACAAACGTGCTGCGGGATGAAAGCGTGTATTCAATTTGTTTTACCATGAGCGAGCAAAATGATACGGGTAATATTAAAACTAACACGTGTTTGTACCTGTGCATTACTTAATTCAACCTCAATTCAAACTCCAATTCCAGTTGGGTTCCTGTAAACTTTACTTCGCTAACATGGTGATATATATTTTTTATGCAGATTGGAAATATCCAGAAAGCCATGAACCTTTCAGCTGAGCTACTTTCATATGGTAAGCAACTTAGATTTGTTTTTACTTAATGTATTCCACAAATAAGTATTAAACAAAAATGTTTCAAAACGAATTAACATAAGATAATGAATATTCAAATCGAGAGAGTGTCCTGTTCATAGCCAGCGATTCTTAGCACACATCCCTGCTCTGCTCCTCCACCATCCTGACCGACGCCAGGGTTTGTGGATCCGTAGCGGATGGGAACTGGGAGCCATGATGTAGGTTATCGTATTTGGTGGGGGGAGGGGGGTTGACCATACTTCACCATGCCGGTCAGCGTGGGTTGACGTTGGGAGGACATTTTGCCTCGCTTCTCGCCGAGTACCTGACTGGTTTGGGTGCCCCTATCCAATGGTGCCACGGTGGCGAGATGTTAACTACCTCGCCTGGTATACAGGAGGTCGTGGGTTCGATCCCGACCCTGACGCCTGTAACATTTGGAGTTTGCGTGTTCTCCACCTGGTCGTGTGGATTTTTCTCCGGGTCCTCCGGTTTTTTTCCCTTTGCATTTAGAAACATGCGTTTAGAGTATTTGGCTGCTAGAAATTTCCACTTGATAAGCCACTTCGTTGAGCTATCATACGGCCAGGTCGCTTATGAAAACAAACAGCTATTTTGCTCAGTGGGCGCCTTACCTGCTAAAAAAAAAAAAAATTGAGCTAAATTTTTTTTTGTTCGCTCACCCACAGAGCCGGCACACCAGAGGGTTCTGAAGAACTTGCAGAAGTACGTGAAAATGCTGGGCAGTGCGGGCGAGCGGGAGGTCGCCCCCTCGCCGGTCGGCCGTCCGCGCAGCACTCACCCTCGCACGCGGGACGCCTACGAGTACCTGTGCCGCACGCACGGCAACCAGGTGAGAGCGGCGCCGAGAGCAATGGCAGAGAGACACACGCGCGCGGCCCGGGTGAGGGCGCCCGCTCACCTCGACTGCCGCCCACACTCTGCAACACTCTTCCCACAGCCGTCTGCGCTGTAAACCTCCCTGGGCCCTCGTCAAGTCGAGGCTGAAGGCCTTCCTTCCCGTGATTTGCTGTCTCCCTTGCCCTATGGATAAACTCTCTCCATAAAATCAGTATGCCGCCACCCCCCTCGTTTCTATAGACTGTCTTGAGATGCAGTCGCGTTTAGGTGCTACGGAAGTCCGCGTTGTATTTCTCCGTGCGGATTGTTGAGGCAAGTGCTGGGAGTGAGCACTTATGAAGACCACCACCACCACCACCACTCGGCCCAGGTTTTTTTGTTCTCCCCAGTGCTGGCTGGTGTTGGCACCGGGTGCCGTTGTAAGGCTGAGTCGACCTGAAGAACTGGTTCAGATTTGGTTCAGATTTCACTCGGGCCGCCTGACGTTAGCCGTGGCAGGGGTCACACTGGGCCTCCTGACGTTAGCCGTGGCAGGGGTCACACGGGGCCGCCTGACGTTAGCCGTGGCAGGGCGTCAAACTCACGTGGCCTCCTGACGTTAGCCGTGGCACGGCGTCAAACTCACGTGGCCGGCATTGGGGCACAGTGTCGCCAATCGCCGCGCCACTGCGCCCCCTCAATCACACTAGGGGGGCCGTCCATAAATGACGTCACGCGAGTTTGTACGAGTTTTTATCCCCCATCCCCCCCCTCGTCACATGGCGTCACAAAAAGTCAGACCCCCCCCCTCAAATATGACGTCACAAAGCTCTGCCCCCCCCCCAAAACCATATTTCCATTTTGGAAATAAAACATGCTTCAAATCGCTTTAAACTATTGTCATTGTAGTGCGTAATGTGGCGCTGCACTCTGATGTTGTAGGAGTGTTGTTATAGCAAATATATATTTATTTAAATTTGCGTATTTGATGTGACGTCACATTTCTCAAATCCCCCCCCCCTCGTCACACATCGTCACAAATGTCTGACCCCCCCCCCCCTCCCTAGGTGCGTGACGTCATTTATGGACGGCCCCCTAGCACACACTCGCACACGGAGGACCGCCTATTTAGTCTCACAGAGCGTAGGGTCAAGTGGTGTTGAGAAGCACCGATTAAAGCAGGCATATGGCACGCAAGTGTGTGGTATTACCAGGACTGTGTCTGGCTGTATTAACCCCACCCCCCCTCCCCATTGCTTTTTAAATGCCACACTAGGAATTGAGTGAAGAATGGTTTTACCTCGGGGAGGCCCAGGACAGACACTCACACGTCCGTTCACACGCACGAGGCAACGACCCCCCACCCCCGTATGGCCGTACAGCTGGGGCAAGTGCCGTTAACGAGCACCTATTGAAGCTGGAACTGTGCAGGAGGAGGTTGTATGGACAGCACCACGCTCGTATGCCTCTGTCTGCCACTTGCTCACGCTCATGTTTACACAAAGAACTGGGTATGAGTAGCGCAGTAAACTAACCACTACACTGCCAGTCCCCCTCACACAACAAAGACACAGACCCTCTGTGTAGCCATAACAGACTGTTGGGGCAAGTGCTGTTCGGGAGAACCTATGAAGGCCGGCATGGCACACAAAGGGGTGGGTGACGAACACCACGCTAGGCCACCTTTGACCTCCGAGTGGTGATATTTACACATCGCGCTAGGTGCTCGTTTGAGGCTAAGTCGACCTAGGGGAGGCCCAGGACGGGTTCATATAATCGTCTCACTGGTGTTAGCCATGAGCAGGAATCGAACCCGGGTGACCGGGTTTGTAGCGCAGCGCGCCAACCGCTACACCGCACACAACATACACACCATCAAAATACAATGGCAAGGGGTTCTCTCGTTAGCCTTTTTCTTTCGTCATATAACACCGCCAATTACGTACAATAGGCGCTCGCTAACCGTGCGTTCATTTTTTCCTCCGCACGCAGCGCTACGCGTACCGCGACCCGCGTTTCGGCTGCTCCTACGAGGACAACGGGAGCCCCCTGCTGCGCCTGCAGCCGGTGAAGCAAGAGCTGCTGAGCCTGCGGCCCCGCGTCCTCCTGTTCCACGACTTCGTGCGCGACCACGAGACGGAGCGTATCAAGCAGCTCGCCGCTCCCATGGTGAGCCGCGTCCACCGCGCGATGCCGGGGGTTGGGGGGGGGGGGCGGCGGCGAAAGAGCGGTCGGGGTTCTGCGAGGGCCTCGAGTGGCTCCCGCGTGAAAGTCTGATCAGATGTTTTTTTTTATATTTGACAGTTTAATCCATCAGCCATTTGGGCCTAAGCGGAATCGCGCAGATTACATGGTCACTGCCCGTCTTGTGAGACAGGCGTCTGCCCCTTTTTGCTTTAAGCTAAAAGTAAACGCACGCACGCACGCACACGCGCGCACTTGAGTTGGCAGCGCAGTAAAGTCCACTGTTCTCACCATGTGTTTTGGGATAGTGCAGGGCGTTGGTTTGCGCAGGATGTCTTGCCAAGCAACACGTGCGCACAACCCAAAAACGCGCCGCAGAGCTATACACGGCACAGCCACGAAAGCCTACAAAGTAGCCAAAGCCATTGCTTTCCTGTACTTCTATGCTTCCATGGCTATGCTCCTCGCCTTCATTCAACGCACACGGACCAGCATCGCAAAGTATGGTAAAATATCCCCCATGACCAGCGCAGGCATAGGGCGTGGCCCTTGTCCAGCGGTGGATTGAAAACAGGGTCTCTCAATTATTATTGTTGTAATAATAATAATATCCTCTGGCAACTTGCTATGTGCTCACGTCCACGTAAGTTTGCCACTCCAGGCTTTTCCAGCCGCCAAATGTTTTTAAAGACAGGAACAGCGAAGAACACGCAGGCCCTTGAGAATGATGGCGATTACGATAAAACTGAGCATTGATATTATTGTTTGTCTCAGGGCCGTGAAATATGGTACCCGATAGCTGTGCCCACGAAGATTTAGTATCTCAGTGGGCTCTTCATTTGTTTGTATCATAAACTTTGCCTATTGGGAGGATGCGCTCCAGTTGGAAATGCGGATTATTAACGCCGGATTTTATTGCACCGAGAAGCACGGCAATTAGATTTTAAATGTTTTCACCCGAATTACCAACGCTCGCTGAGCAATAAAAGAAATGCTAATGTGGAAAAACAGATGCCCAAAGCCAGAGCTGGGACGAACAAAGATTAGCTTTGTTGTCTCTCGTTACTTTCAGTTTACGATTGAGAAAAATTATTTCCCATCCCGTTGGGGTGTGTTGAGAAGTGTGGATGGGTGAGTGGAGAAGTGTCGAGGATTCGACAGTTGGGATGCGTGATAAACAGGGTGTTATAATTATCCGCGTGTTGTTGGGCATTATCTCCCACGTTTTTCTCCACGTAAGCCTCTTCAGTTCCTGAAGAATGTCACAGCACTTGGAGCAAAACGTCGGGCTTGGTACCAAACACCGCGCGGTAAAACCCGGAAACTTAAGACAGATTGGCCACTTCTCTAATTGATCACAAATTTAAAGCAAGCCTTCTCTCTCCAATTACCCCCCCCACTGCCTCCACCTGCTTGACACATGGGGCTCACAAACCCCATTAGCAGATAATTCCACTGCAAACCACCCCAGCCATCCCCCACCCATCCCTCCTCGCACCGGACACCAGAAATGCCACTGTCGACACCACATCCGCCCCCTATAATTGCTTCATTGTTTCTCCGTTTCCTCCTGGAGCGTTTTGAGGTTTGAGTGCAATTACGGAGGCACGGGAGCGGGCGTGTAACCCAGCGACTGGACGCAACGGTTTTAAGAGGTGCCGGTAGCCCGTGACGATGCAGGCTTAACGACGTGTATCCCCTAATTAACCTTGTGCAGTTGCAGAGGTCAGTCGTCGCATCCAGCGGACAGCAGACGACAGTGTCGTACAGAATCAGCAAGAGGTAAGGACGAACGAGCAGCGCATTGTGACGAGGAGCGGTGCGGGCGCGGTTTGGAAGCCGGAGGCGTCCTCCGAGCGAATGGTTCCTGCCGATTGCTGGTTATGTTATGGAAAGCATCCTTAAAGTTCACCCTCCACTTCATCGCGGATGTGTATGCACGTATGGGTGTCGAACTTCTTTCGCATCGTACGTAGGCAGCTGCACCCATTGGAGATGCGGCGGAAGGACAACAAACTAAACACAATAAGCGGTTCTAAAGAAGATTTAAACGTGCATAGCTCCGGCGGCTTTATAATATTCGAACGAAGGAGCGTTCCAGACGGCCGCAGGAGCGCATCTGAAAGCGCGCGATGCAGTGACTGTCTTTGTTTGATGGATAATGGATATAAGAGGAGTTCTGCTACCATATAATTCTGTTAATTCTACACAACTACTGGCTACTGACTCAAGTTTTTGAGCTGACTGTTTGCGCACTACTCTGCAATTAAAGGTCATCGTAACAGTCAGCATCTTTGTTGAAGTGGATTTATGAATATTATGAATATTGTGCCAGTCTTTTCGCCGTATCTAAACATGTTAGGTGTCTCCTGACACCCGCGGAACCCACAGTAGTGTGAGTATGGAAAATAATGCGGTTTTTATTTTAGGTTCCCATGAAAATAAATTTGAAGAAGTCTGCTTTATTCGTAAGCAGCCGAGTTTGTAAACAAGTGTGATAATAAGTTTGTTTCCAAAGTAACTTTTAAATGAATAAAATAAACACGCCAAGGAAACATTGGACCAAACTTCTTCTTTGCACGCCAGATTTGAAAAAACACATGGCTTTATGAATTTGATTATCAGTCTCAGCTGTGCTGTGAGATGTTTTTTTTTTATATTATATAAAATAGAAATTCATCACGGTATCATTCTTGCCCTTTTTTTTACGACAAAACTTCAACAAACAATCGTGAAGTGGCATCACCAGCAAAACAAAAACAACAAAACCGAGGAAATCTGTTTTATCTGCCAAAAAAAATCCAACCACATTGAAAGTAAAATGAATGAAACGGGCATGTCCAGCAAAGCAAGTTGGTTTGGCAGTTTTGGTAGAAACGTTTCCCCTGCCCTTGAACATTGCGATGCTCCCTCAAGTCAGCCACGGAGCTCCGTGGTGAACGTGCTAAGCCACTCGGCCATTTTGCCTCGAGTTCAAAGGTCAGTTCCCCTCCCGTAGCCGCCCAGCCGTTTCCGCAGGGAATTGCGGGGTATGGCGCCTGCTTCCAGCTGGGCATTAAAGACGAAACATAGGTCGATTATGCGTGGCATTGTTGTAAATCTAGATTGAAAACTCGTTTCTTTGGAGCTGCTTATTGTGTTTATTTTGTTGTCCTTGCCCTCGCACCTCCGATTAGCACGGTTGTTTACGTACGGTGCGAAAGCAGTTCAACACACGTACACGTACACGTGCGTACGTGTGGCCATCGACTTAACGTCGGACATGAAGCCCGAACAAAACGTGGCGCGACCCGAAATGACATCGGAGAGCTATTGGGAAAGAAAGAAATAATAAAAGCCCACAACAAAATAACAACAAAAAGAATCGCCCCGAATCGATGAGACGGTGCATCCAATTCACCCCCCTGCTGTCGTCAACGAACGTGTGCCGGTTCTCGTGGGGCCGCGCGACTCGCCCGCAGCGCGTGGCTCAAGCAGGAGCAGGACGCCGTCATCCGGCGTCTCGACCGGAGGGTGGCGGCCATCACGGGGCTCGACACGGGCCCACAGCACGCCGAGCAGCTGCAGGTGTCCAACTACGGCATCGCCGGGCACTACGAGCCGCACTACGACCACGCCACGGTGAGCCAGACCACCGTCGACATTCGTCACCGGCACAGGCGCAACCGGCATCGCCGCCGTTCAGCTATGCTCGCTTGCGAAGTGACTGCAGTGAAAAGAAAAACTGTGGCTCACTGTGTGGGGGGGTGGGGGGGGGGGATTTTAGGGTAATCGCTGCAGGAAATTGTCTACGTTAACGCATTGATTATGAGCAGCTATGGCAACTTGGTGCAGCAATGGCAAAGGGTTGGAACCGAGTCCTGTCTAGGCACCGTGCAGTGTGCTAACCGCGCTACCATTGCTCACCCCCTTCTTTAAATGGACAGTACCGAAATGGAGGAGACACTTTGAGATCTCACCAATATTAAGGAGGCTGATGATCTCCTCTGACGGGCCCAGGGCTGGCAGCTTTGCAGATCTTCACCGCCTTGCAACACCTATGCACGAGGAACCTTCCTGTCTACAAATGCTGATGAATATTGACTCCATCTGCGGTTTCGTTTACTGTGCCAACTCCCGCAATGGCTCACTGCATGAAACAAATGAACCACGAGTCTTAAAAAAGTTTGTTAACAAAAAAAAAACACACACACACACTTGCGTTGGTCGCCTTGAGCACTTGACATTTTTGTTTAATTCTTGAGTAGTTTTTTTTTGCTCAAGAATTTTTTTGTCTGGGCCGGTTGCGCTGTGAATGACTAGCGAGCACTTTGCAATAATTGACATGTAAAAGCGAGCGCGTGTACCTTTTTTTCTTCTTCTTCACGAATGCATTTTTTTTACGCAGTCTGAAAACAGCTCCTTGTATCGCATGCCAGCTGGGAATCGAGTGGCTTCCATCTTAATTTACGTGAGTTGCACAACCTTTTTTTTTCATACGTATAACTTCTCAAGGTCACAGGATCCGCCCTGGTATTTCGTGAAACTCTTTTCACGCAAAAACCATCGTAAAACAAAAAAGAGAGAGAGAGGCATGCACTTGCATTTTTAAAGCGGATTATTCGTGTTTTTTACGACTAAAGATATTTGGCCAGAATCACATCGGGAAAGAATTACCCCAAAAAGCACGTTGCATCGTCGGATTTTACACCGTTTTTTGGTGGCAGAGACGCGCCCGAGCACTTTCAGCAACAACAGCAAAAATGCGCACAGAAAGGGACGCAGGGACAACGTCACGAATCCGACTCGCTGGGGACTGAGGCGCAGGTGGATTGTGAAAAACGTCGATGGGAAAAAAGACGGTTACGTCATTGCCAAAATACCGAAGTGGGCGTAGCCTCTGAATTTGTTTCCGGCGGACATGACGTCACGTTCGGATATATATTTATATGGACATGTGACGCTGTGCTGAATTCGCCAGCACTTGAATCTGGCCCATTGTATCGGACAGGAAAGACACCTGACAACACAATCTATCGTTTCGAGCACTTCACCATGTTTATGAATGCTCTGTACAATCAATTACGGATCGTTCTAAGTCTCCGTTTGCTTTTCGCCACGCAGCTCAGCTCCGTGGAGGTGGGTGGCTCCACGGCATTCATTTACAAAAACTTCAGCGTTCCAGTCATTAAGGTAACATTAAGTGTTAGGGAAGGCACGGCACATACATTCATACATGTTTTCCCCCGCTTCTGATGTTTGTTGAAAGTACGACAAGTAATTCATAATAAAGATTTTTGGGTTAGATCGCGTTATTTATAAATGTGTCGTAACCCTCCACCACCCGACACGGCCAATCAGCGAAAAAAAAAGTGTCACGTTGACAAAAGACAAATAATTCACTACTTTAGCCCACCGGTGTGTTGAAGAGTGAATCCACAACATTTACAGTTTGAGTACGATGTTTCGCTGGTAAATACATCCAGCAGCATCGGGCAATTCGCCAGAATGGTAAAGTCCTCGCTTGCTCCCGGTTGTAAATAGAGCAGCATCAGTGTGACGTCATCATTTAACTCATATGAGGTGCAGTGATTAGAGGCGGAGGGGGGGTATTGTAATTATATAATCGATTAGTAATCAGTCACTGGTTTTGATTAGTAATGAGTTGTAGATTAGTAATTAGTTGTAATGTGTTAGTGATTATATGCTATGTTAGTAATCCGTTAATTAGTATGTGTTTCCCCTATAAGGAATTGTAATGTGCATTCATATTCTTAGCTTCCTCGGCAAAGCCACGCCGAAGGGAAACAACAAAACAACTAACATAGATATTCTATTATTTTATTGCTTCCCCCCCAACGCGACTCCACCGAAAGAGCCAAGAAGTAATGTTTAAACGGCACAGAGAGGCGGTGAAGGTGCAGCCCTGCAACGGCTTTCTCACGCCACTCTGGCGAAAGGGGCCCCACTAGAATGAGTCACATGGAGAGCCACTCCTGCGGATATTTTGGTCTACTTTTCCATGCTGATGTCTTGGAATAGGTCGAGGGGGTACCCAGACACTTTACCCCACCGCATGGTTATTGACTCATGGGGTGACAGATGCTGGGAGGCGTCAAGGCGCCTGCGCCGATTGTTTAATCTCTCGTCGCAGCAGCATGAATATCTTGTCAAAATATACCAAGCTGCGTATGTCATAATAATAATAATAAAATTTGTACAAACTAAACCAGCCAACTTCCTATGAGGCGTGCAATGACACATCATCAATTAAATTCCTCAAGATATCAATAATCAATTATTGGATCGAATCGTGACACTGCATCAGTTCATTGAATTGTAATCAACACATGCCCACTATCCCTTTTATTGTCTAACAACATCCCAACTTTCACGTCGTTTTTTTTGTACTTCGCACAGACGCTTAGAAGCGGCAGGTGGCAAACCATTGTTTTTCCCGTGCAGTATTTTGATAAGTACCCTTGCGTGAGCGGTCAAATGTTAAACAGCAAGGCTCCCATTCCGTTTGCCGCATTATTTCTACCCCTTACCCCACCCCCTCCACCCCCGCCCCCCTTACCCTCACCCCACCCCCCCCCAACGGATCCTCCGCACCCATTTCCCCCGGACGTTGCTTCGAGCAGAATGCCGCCGTGTTTTGGTGGAACCTGAAGCGCAGCGGGGAGGCAGACGGGGACACACTGCACGCCGGCTGCCCCGTGCTGGTCGGCAACAAGTGGGGTACGTGCTGGAGGTTTCATTCTCACCAAGCTGCACAGAGCTGCAGATGAAGGCGGCAACGGCTGCCCCGTGCCATGTGAAGCTCCCGTTGCAGGGAAGTTTAACAGTCCTGAGAGGTGGCTGCCAGATGGATCGCTAATCAGAGTGCTGAGCTGGCACCGCTGAGGCCAGCTCAAAAAAGCAGATTTCAATCACATGTAATGATAGTGGGCTGGTGGTCTCAGTTTGATCACCAATGACTGCAACAAATGAAGGCGCATTAAGCACTTTAGTTGGCTACATTTGAGCTCTGAGAATGAAAAAAAATATTAGATTGACTGTCATGCGATGAACATTACTCTCAGGGGCAAAGTGGGTTGTAAGTGCTGGCCCGAACTTTCTGGATTTCAAAGGTTAGCTCTGTGGTGGCTGCTTCAGTGGGCTGCTCTCTAATACAATGGGTTGCACAGTTCTGCAAGAGACCTGAATGGATCCTTTGCCTCACGGTGAGATGCTCATTACGCAAGTGGGGACAACATTGGGGATGCATTAAAAGCTTAACGTTGACCTTTCAACTCCAGTCCCCACACCTCCACCATAGGACAAGGCTTCCATTTGTTTTAACTCGTCACCAGATGCACCAAGTGTAGACATGGCATGTGCATGGAGACACGTAGCAGATGTGCAAAGGTAGACCAATGGGGGTTTGGTAGAACTGGAATTTGGAAAGCCATTTTAGTTTGTTTATCTATAATTATGTTTATGAGGTGGCCGGGTGCCTCGGGGCTAAGGCCATTCCCAGAAAACTGAGCCAGCACTGCCGAGTTCTTGGGTTTAAACCTGGGCAACTACTCATGTGTGATGAGTTGATAGTCTCAGCCTTGTGACCTACGACTGCAAACCTACCCGCCCCCCCCCTCCATCATAATGAATGTGATTTTGTGCTTATCTCACCATGTGCTCACAGAATTAAACATGAGATTGATTTGAATGCAACACTCTCGATAGGGACATGTGAAAAAATGTGTACCCTTGGCGTCAATAAAGGGCCTTGTCTGTGTGACTTCAGAAGTAGCCCCGCTGGTGCACTGCTTGCTGCAAAAGTTTCCGAATGAAAATTTATTCCACACATCTCACAATGCCAATAGAAACATTGGAAGGGGAAAAAAAAGCTAATTCTAATTCGTGAGCTTGAACAGAGCTTGGACATTGGTGTTCAGTAGGATTGCAGGTTGCGAAAGTTGTGTATTAATCTTGATTTGAAGCTTTCGTGACCGCAGGAATCCATACTTTTTGGTTCTTTCGGTAAAGTCACGTCCATCATCAGGTACCTGATGATGGACGCTTGCGTTGCGCCCGAAACGTCGTGATTTATTATATTTTAATTTAAACTTACGTGACTTTACCGAAAGAACCAAAGAGTTTGTGTTTTAATCCTGTTCAAAATTTAAAGATGCAGCCCTGCAATTACTCCATTAGAGAGAGAGAGCGCTTTGTAGAGAGCCACTGCAGAGGGTACGTTAGCCTACTCATCCACGCTGGCTAAAGACATCGTTAAAGAGGTGGGATCACCCCCGTTTTACCCCACCACACGTGGCCTGCCTATTCACTGACTGCGATGTACCTGTTTATACCGCTGGGTGGACAGCAGAGGCGGGGACATTTATTGAACCCACTCCTTCAATTGCCACGCCGCGTTGATTCCAAGTCCAGAATTCCACCACAGCAGCAGAGTCTTGTTTAGAGCGAGTGTGTGTGTTATAGAGGGGGAGCGGTAGCGTAGTGGTTCGCGTGCTGCGCCACGAACTAGGCGACCCGGGATCGATTCCCGCTCGTGCCCAACATTGGTGTCGAATATCTGAAGCGGTCCTGGGCCTCCCCTAGGTAGACTCGGCCTCAAATGAGTACCTGGTGCGGTGTGCAAACATCGCCACTGGGACAAAGGCGGCCGAGTGTGGTGCTGGCCACCCACCCCCACGTGTGCTGTGGCGGCCTTCGTAGGTGGTACTTGCTTACAGAACTTGCCCCGACACTGTTGCGGGCAGTACGGGGGGAACGTTTGTCTTTCTATGTGTATAGCAAGTATGAAAACACACGCACGTATGTTGAGCTTTTTTTGCGCACCGCACGTCGCCATCCGTGCTGATCGGAGGTGTCTCGTCTCTCTGCAGTCGCAAACAAGTGGGTGCGCGCCTTTGGGCAGGAGTTCTGTCGCCCGTGCAGTCTCGACCCTCGCGAGTAACAACGGCGAGGGGACGACCGTCGGAGGCAGCCTCTGCGAAACCTCATGGGCGACATTCCCCCATCCCCCACCCTCCCCCTCCCCCCACCACCCCCCCTCCCCCCCACCCCCTCCCCCCGCCCGCTTCAACCTGACGACGTTCCACCGTGCGAAAAACGCTATTTAATAATTTATTCGACAAATGTTAAAGAGTGTTATTTTATTTGAAGAGCACAAAAGCTGGAGCGCACGCACGCACGCACGCACGGATCGACGAGACTCGCTGTGCGTCAGGACAAGCGGAATCGGCCTCTGGGGCGAGCGAGCGAGCACTCGAGTGCAGGCGGCGTTGAAAGACTGCATTTTTTGGCAGCGGAATTAACGCGGGGCTTTGGAAAATTTCCGAACACGTGCCGGGCGAGAACCGCCCGACCCTCTCCCGGATACTTCCTGCACAGGGGAAAACAACACCGTGGAACGACAGCAATAACAACGACGATACACCGACAACAACAACAACAACAAATCATCATCGTCAATCATCATCAAAATCAGCCATGATCAAATCCGCTGCTGGATGAAGCCCTACCCAAGTCATCGCTATCTCGCAAGCAAGAAGGCCTCCCCACGGTTCCTCCGGTGGACGTGATTATCGGAGGCGCCGCGTCCCTTGGCGACCGCCTGCATTTCCGTTCGCTGACCGTCAGCCGTGATGCCCTTTTCCGGAAACGTGTCCTGACCAAGCTCCATTTTTTTAAAATTTGTTTACTGTTTGAAACAAAACAATACAAATAATGAGCAATGAAAGCCGATCGTTAAGATGGTGCAATCAATCGCACCGTTCACACTTGTGGGGAAATGACTCAGAAAAGTGAACGGCGTAGTGCGTGCGAGGCAAAGTTCTCGAGTCTTGAAGGGAAGCGGAGTGTCACTTGCCGGGGGCAAGACGTACGAGTCGGCTTGAACGACCTCGCATGACGACGCATCGCACGCCCTCCACTGGGCCCTGTGGAGAAAATAAATATATATATAAAAAAACCCACTGCCCGTGTTTAAAAGTAAACGCTGGCGCCTTGGGTGAAAACAAAAAGGCCAATAATACAGTCCCGTTGCTACGTCGCGACTGCAAGGCATCCACAAACGATCACAATGCTTCGTTTTCGAAAGAAAAGCCATTCTGTGGCAGATTAGTCACGCAAATTGCACACGTGCTTCCTGTATGTGGGGTTTTTATCGCCTTGGCTCTTGTCCTCACTTGGAAAAAAGGCCTTACTGTATTTGGATGAAGAAATTCTATATGTTTGCGATTGTCATTTCGTCATGTTTTTCAACCCTTTTTCAATCCACCGCTGGATGAAGGCCTCCCCTAATTGCCATGTTGGTCATTAATGAGGGTTGTGTTTGACCATATTTACTTCATCGATCAGTATGGGCTGTTGAAGGGGGAGCCCAGTACTGATTCTGATATCACTCGCCACTGATATTAGCAGTGGACTGCCTTCGAACTTGGGTCACCTTGTTCATAGCGCAGTGCGTGAACCACTGCACCACCAATTCACTCACACTTTGTTTGACCTACCTATACTGGACATCTGTTAAAGAGAGCTTCACAGCTCATCAGATTCCTCTAGTCTAAATAAAAAAAAAATCTGTTTCTGTTTAATGGGAATAAAACGTAGTGAATGCAGGAAACAGGGCATGCCTGTCTGACGCGGGACAGAAATTACAACTCCCGGCTGCTTTTTATTTTTGCCAAAACGAGTTAGAAAAAGGAAAACGAAAAGAATAAAAAAAAGTAAAATATTCGGTTGTAAAAAAAAAACCCAACCAGAGAGAATGTAAAAGGCTCCGCGTTAGTGACCAGTGCGAGGAGGGTTATGCGGTACACGTCCGAGCCGGGAAGGTAATCTGACAGCACAGCTGCGTGGCCCAGGGGAGCGACGCGTCTGTTGGGCGAATGCTTTGTAGGAGCCAGTCGTCTCGGTCAGTCGACCCGTGGCACCTGCTGGGTCTGCCGCGGGCGTTCGACACTTCACGTGGCCTCAAGGTGCACGTGGCCTGGCACAAGCGTCGTGGTGACGTCACCGCCACTTAGTGGCGAATGGCGGTTGTTGTTGTTGTGGTAGGAGGGGAGGGATGGAAAAATAAAAAAAAACAACCACGGAACGCGCACGCGTACACCCCCTTTTGTCAATCCACTGCTGGATGAGGGCCTCCCTATTGTAACGTGGACTGCGTGGGGGTTTTTTTGACCGTACTTCACCGTGATAAATCAGTGCGGGTCGGTGAAGCTGGCGGTCGTAGTTGTGGGAGCATTGAAGTGCAGCACAACGATGGATTTTGCTGCACTGACCCTGCCGCACTAAACGTAGCAAACTCTCTGCAGACGCCTGTGGCTACCTGCAGCACGTGGCGGGTAGCTAAGCTTTGGAGCTCAGACGATATCGATTGCGTTTCAGATAATGATTTGATTGTTTCTGCTGCAATAGCGGCTATGGATATATCGGCCTTAAAGCAATCATATTCTAAAGTAAAGAGTACAGCCCTTTATCCACTGTTCCATGAAGGCCTCCCCACAACGATATGGTTGTATGGGATTGTTCGACCATATTTGATTAACCTTGTTCAGTGTGTAAGTTGGGTGAATGAAGTGCCCAGGACTGGTTCCGTTCAAGCACAACAATATAATAATAATAAGAACGACGTAACTGTCCGCGGATGTGAATCGAACTCAGGTCTGTGGGTTCATGGGGCAATGCACCTTCCACTGCGCCCTTCCTCTGCGCCGCTCACTCCCACACCCCCCCCCACCCCAAGTGACACAAGATCCATTGGAAATGTCAGATGTCCGTTTGCCCTTGAGGCCTCGTTTAATGAGGCTGTGCGGCGCTGTGAAATAAACAGTGTGAACAATGGTCAGCATTCAGCAGCAACGGACCACAGACGGACGCTGTACAGACACCTGTACAGAAACGCTCGTTGTGATTAACCCCAGCCGTGGAAATTCCATGAATTGTCACGATTTTTGGCCGGGGGGAGGGGGGGTCGTGATTTGATTCATGATTTTTTTTAAATGACGTGAATGCAGCAGCGGCCTCTAGTGGCAGCAATGGGGGGGGGGGGGGGCGGGGGGGGGTGGGGTGTGCCCCATTACATACTCAAATGAAAGAAATACATTCTAAAGCGCACAAATCGATGCACGCCTCGTGAATGCAACATTCAATTTGAATCGAGGACTTGACGCATCGTTACACCCTTATTGTACATACACACTTGATTCCGCCTGTGCTTCCCTTCGTTGTCAATACAACGAATTAAAATTAACAACCACTAACTTATTCTGCTATCACCATCCACTGCTGGACGAAGCAGCTGCCATCTCTCTCACAATTCCCACAACTCGATATTCCACCGATAATATCACCCGCGCACGAGTTGATTTCATCGCTGCATCGCCCCGGATGGGATGTCCTCTCCAGGCGCGTTCCCTTCCCGAGTTGTGAAATTGAGTTTAAGAAACCTTGGCTTCAAACCAGTCGATGAACAATAACCCTGCCGCGTGAGAACGCTCAGAGATGTCGATACCTTCTTGACCTGAAACCCGCTCCCATGCGTTCTCAAATTGTACCGCGTGTTGTTCGACAACAATGTCCGACGTTTCGTTCCACGTGCCGGGGGCTTTCTTCGGTTTCACTTCCTCAACGAGCTCCCAGTAACGTGGAGCGAAACGTCGGATAGCACACGGCAACAAACCAAAAACACAGTGGAGAGCTGTACAGCACAACCGCAAGAACCTGTGACAGCGGTGTGATCTGAACTGTGGGTATGATGTATGTCCTGTATGGATCCGTAATAGAGGCTTTTTTTTGTTTAGATCGCGTAAATATAAATGTGTCCATATTCTTAGTTTTTTCGGTAAAGTCACGTTGAAGAGAAACAACAAAATAACAAAATATATATAAAACAATAAAAATTCTCATAAATTATGCAAACCGACACACCTGATGATGACCGTTTGAGTTATGGTCGAAACGTCGTGAGAATTTTTATTGTTTTATATATATTTTGTTATTTTGTTGTTTCTCTTCAACGTGACTTTACCGAAAAAACTAAGAATATGAATTACTGCAGTCACGAAAGCTTTAAATCAAAATATAAATGTGTCGTTAAACCCGCCACCACCCGACACAGCCAATCAGTTAGGTTTGTCACGTAAGCAAAACATACCAATTCGTTACTAGCTCAGCACACCGGTTAAGTGTGTTGGAGAGTAAACCCACAACATTTACAATTCGAGTAGCGTGACGTTTCGCCGGCAAATAAACACCAGCCTCATCAGACGACCGCCAGAGTTGTGGAGAAATCCTCATGTTTGTATGCGCGTTGAACTTCTCTCGCACCGTACGTAGCCAACCGTGCTCATCGGAGGTGCGTTCCATGTCGATGCGAATCGCACCAGCAAAGCTTGCGAGCCCCGTGTGCCATTCCCAGCTGTAAGGAGACCTCTACGCACGGTCAGTGAAAATAAAAAAAAACCAAAACCCCTTCGGGAACAACCAAGAGTGTTTTCTTTAGCAAATAGCAGCGCCAGGGATGAGGTTTGCTCCCGAGGTGATTCCTCACGCCTGCCACGCTCGCTCGCTTCCCAGCTGTGGCAGCAGCTCCAATGCTGGTGGCTGCCGGTGTCAGCTCGCTCCAGGCGAAGCGGTGTCACCACCCCCCCCCCCATTGTCGGGGCTCAACGAGACGAAGGCTCGATGGGGGTGGGGGGGGGGGGGAATGATCAGATCCCAGCGTTGTTCGTTTTAACCAGCTACCTCGACTGGTATGCAAGAAGGTCGTGGGTTCGATCCCAACCCTGACGCCTGCTGTATATTTGGAGTTTGCGTCTCTCTCTCATCATCATCACGGTGGCTGCGAGATGTTAACTATCTCGCCCGCTCTACAAGAGGGCCTGAGTTCGATCCCGACTCTGACGCCTGCTGTATATTTGGAGTTTGCGTCTCTCCCTCTCATCATCATCACGGTGGCTACGAGATGTTAACTACCTCGCCCGCTATACAAGAGGGCCTGGGTTCGATCCCGACCATGACGATGCCTGCTGTATAT